CCGAGTCTTTAGCAGTACTGGTGCTCTTTGTGTTACAAAAGCATCACCTTGGTCTCTACCTTCATCCTCACGTGACATTCTCCCTGTAAGCCCGTTTCTGGGTCCAAATTTCTTGTTTTCATAAGGACACCAGTCACACTAAATTAGGACACAAACTAATGATCTCATCTTTAATTGATCTCACCTATATTGACTTTATTTCTAGAAAAAGTTGCATTCTGAGGTAGTGGGAGTTATGAATATATGAATTTTTGTGTAACAATCAACTCACAACAGACAGAGGCAGAAATGAAATTGCTCAGAAGGCAGAAATGCAGATGTTAAGCCGACGCAGGAGGCAGAGTCCGATTCTGAGGTAGTGGGAGTTACGAATATATGAATTTTTGTGTAACAATCAACTCACAACAGACAAAGAGGCAGAAATGAAATTGCTCAGAAGGCAGAAATGCAGATGTTAAGCCGACGCAGGAGGCAGAGTCCGCATGCACTGTCAAGCAGCTTTGACTTCTAACTGGACTTGTGAAGGGCACACTATGGGAGACAAGAGCTGTTGCGGTGCAGAGTCCATTCCAGGAGAAGTACACACACGTTCTTGGGTGTTAGAAGAGCCAGACTGGCTGCTGAGTGGCTGGACCTCGAGACTCCTGAAAGGAGCTACACTGGGTAATTCCAAGGCCTGCTTATTCCATATCTCTTTCCTTCTGGACCTTTCCTTATTCAGGCATCCAGAAGATCCCAAATGTTAGGAGCTATTTTCATTCCTAGAATACAGAGCCCTTTTCAGCAGTATGAGAAACCAACTCCTTTTACTTGTTGGTAAAAAGACGTAAAGGATATCCATGTATTTATGGTTTCCTATGTGAAGGATGCTTCTTCTCTTTCTTTTTCTTCTTAAACTCATCTAAGCCTCAAATGATGGATACTCCTTTTCTTACAATTTCCGTTTCATTCCCTTTAAATATTATGGAAATGCACCTTTTCCTAATGCTTTCTAAGGTTAGTATATACTGTGTATTTTTTTAATCACACCTTCATATTGTCTCTCAAGCCAAGGCACTATGATTCCTCTCCACTGCCACGTCTTCAGAGAGTGAGTGGTATCCTGAGTGTGGTTCTTGCACCAGCAGTAATCACACCTTCATATTGTCTCTCAAGCCAAGGCACTATGATCCCTCTCCACTGCCACGTCTTCAGAGAGTGAGTGGTATCCTGAGTGTGGTTCTTGCACCAGCAGCATCTGGGAAATTATTAAATGTACAAACATTTTACTTACCCACCTGTGTCACTGCTAGAGCTACTGAATGAGAAACACTAGGTGTGGGGTTCGTAAAGCTGTGTTAACTGTCTTCCAGGTGAGGCTCAGCAAGAGGTCAGTGTCATCTGTGTTGAGCAAAACAGTGCACGGATGATCCGATGCACTATCTTCCTAACTGGTGTCCCTACGGATATGGTCCCCCATTCTCCATACAAGAGCCAGGCTGATTCTTCAAAATGTTAATCAAATCACTTAATTTTCTACCTTAAAAACTTTTGTATCAAAGGCTTTCTACTGTATTTACCATAAAAGCAAATCTCTCACCCTAACTTGCTAGACAACTTACTATGCAATGGCCTCTACTCAACATTCTAGAGGATACTGGGGCAGCATTATTTGCTCTTATATCCATAGTACCTCCCACATAATAAATCTTTACTATCTGCCGAATCGATCGTTTAAATGGTAAAAATATCCAGATCTACGTTATTCACTCTGTTTACAATGTTACTGAATTCAAATTCTTGAGTTTTGTCCATTTATATTCTAAAGAGTCTGTCCTTTTCTACCTCTTCTTTCCTGATGCTTCCAAAATCCCATGCTAATTTTAGTTAATCATTACTAAACTTCACAAGCGATTAACACGGCACCTGTTTGTACTAGAAACGTTATCATCTCTAGAAGTTCACATGCACGTAGAGAAAAACAGACTTGTAAACACTGTCTTTCCTAAGTTTATGGTATGGGATACAATAAGCTTTGAAACATGAAGGTCATGATTAAGCTAGGTCTGAAACGAGAAGAAAGAATTCTCCAACTAGAGAATCGTGTAAGGTTAGTAATGGTAGTTACTGCACCTGGGAAGGCACTTGAACTATGAGGAAAACAAAGATGATAAATTCAGAGCGCTGTGGTCCTACAAAGAGATGTTCATGAGTCCCAGAATCAGAGAGGATGATGTACATCAGGATGGCTCCTGGGAGAAAGGCGTTCTAGGCTTTACTCTGCAGAGAGTAGGAAGCCATCGCAGATGTTTAATCCTGGAAGGGGGAGGAATGTGTTTGAGTTTAGGGTCCCTCTGATGGCAATATGGGGGATGGATTAGGGAGGAAATAGGAGGCAGGAAGCCCAGCACAGAGGTTGTCCTCTGAAATTTCTCTACTTCTCTCCCTTCTTAGGTTCATGGAGGACACAAGCCAATCTTTCATCACATTACACAAAGTGACACTCGTCGGTGGCTGTTTTGCTCAGTTGCTCTGTGTGCAGACCTGACTGGTCAGCTTGGGAACTGCATGGAGACTTAGTCAAGCGAACTTCCCCCTAAGCCCAGTGAACACTCTGCCCCCACTGCATCTTCCTTGGAGTCGCTTTTGCAATGCCATCTTTAGGTTTCCTCTCTCAGAGTGGTCCTGCTGGCCACGGAGTTGCACTTTCGCTACTGCTTTTTCTGATTATAGCCAGCCTACCTCTCCATGCCTATTTCCTGGTTTTCATGAAATCCCAACCCCTATGTCCAGAAGGACACTGATGATTAGTTATCTAATTTATTTGGCACATATGAAAATTAGTTCTCAAGTGCATGAGTGACTTTTCCAAAGTTAACAGGTTAGCATCAGAGACAGGGCTGACTTTTCTACTACAGACATTTTTGTTCCTTATACATTTACACACAGGGTGAATAAGGAAAACCATCATCATCATAAGTCTGGAGCAGTATGCCTGGTGACTCATGCTTTAAAAAGTGACTGTTACATTCATTGTTATTAATATTAAATAACACAAGCAAAGTATCACAACATTACCACTTTATTGACCAGTACACTAAATCTAGACTTGCTGAGACTCCTCTACCATGGGCAGGCTGAGAAGGCTCCGGAACCCAGGTATTCTGAATCCAAATCTTCCATTTTTCTCACCACAGTGGTGGCCTTGTATGCAAAGCAGGCCATAGAGAAGGTTAGCACTAAGCTCCTGTCTTCCGATGCATCCCTTAGTTATCCTTGGATTTGTGAACTTAACAACTGCCTAGGAGCCAAAGATTTGTAACTGTCTATCCAGTGTTCTGCTCAGCACATTGACTTAAGTCAGGAAGATGAACAACATCTTGATTAAAAAGAATATGAAATCAGAGCTTTTGATTAAGAATTTGGTAAATCATAATGAGCCCATAATATAAGCAAAAGGAAAATTAGAAGGGATAAAAATGAGAAAAACAAAATTAATAAAGAATTCTAAAATACTGATTAAGGGAAAGTTGCACAAATGCAGTGTAAATTCCAGAAATCATCAGAATCCCCAGTGAAACCAGAAACGACCCAGCAAGAAAAGCAAAGCAGGATGGTGCCTATATATAAGCAGGTCCATTACAGAGACAGGCCTCTCACCACCAGCAGCCGTGCTCCAAGGGAACACACTTCTGAGAACTCTAGCACTGCCTGTTCTGGATTCTCGTCTGCCTCTGAAAAGTGTGCTACCTCACTCATCCTGGCCTGTGCTTTTCCTAATGACACATTTATGAAGAACAGTTGCCATTTAGTAAATCTTACTATACGTGAACAGGAACGATAATACGCAATTTATGCACATTTGACCTCCCAAACCCACAATCTTTATCAGTGCAGCCATTTCTTAAGTGAAGACACTGAAGCTCAGAGCGATTCAGCAATTTACTTGGAGTTACACATGTCATAGGGGATAAAGTCTAGGTCTGAATTCAGGACTGCCTGATTTGATAGCATGGACTTTTCATCACTGAAACCTTTCTGGGACAATAGGTTTATATAGGAAACAATATGCACTTTTCTTGTAACTAATCCTCCTGCATTCTCTTGGAAATGGTAGCAGGAAAAAAGGCAGCAGCTAATTCTCTCTTATAGTCAACAAGCAAGTGTACGGAAAACTAACACCCAAATTCCTTAAAGGTACTGTGTTCTAACTGATATTGTTAGATTATTATTTTGTGTGTTTTCTTGCATCAAATTACTGATTCCCACTTTGGTGCGCATATTTTTGTGCTGCAAAATTTTTAAAAAATTATGCAAGCAGATATATTTGTTTTTCATCGTGTCTCACAATGATAGCAGAATTTGGGGTATATATTTAGTTTGATTTGTGCATGCGGTTGGGTATTATTTCAGGTTAGCGGGAATTCTTGTTTTGTGAATTGAATGAATGTCACCTGGATGAATGAGAATGATGCTATGGGTTATTGATTCCTAAAAGTATCTAAGATGACTTGCTACAAATCATGGATTATATTTTATTCTTCCATTTTAACATTTTAATCATAATTCTCTAGTCTTAAAGTGGTGTATTTTACCCAAGAATTCTATAACCTTAATTCATTAGAGTGCCCTTGAAGACAGCAATCAGATAAAACAGTAATTCCTCTGTTAGGAAATGGACCAACTAAAGCACTTGCGAATTGGCTAAGGAAATGGAGTAGAAGTTTCCAGAAAGCAGCTTCATATAATTAGCAAATCCCACCATCAAGATCGGCGCCAGCAGCCCCATGATGTAGTCCAGGAGGCAGTGAACTGTGGCTCATAGGCCAAATGTCCCACCACCTGTTTGTTTCCCGCAAGCCTGGGATAGGATTTACATTTTTAGCTAGTTGGAAAAAAAGAAAGACAGAATAAGAAAAATATTGTATGGTATGTGAAAATTATGTGAAATTTAATTTCAGTGTCCATAAAGAAGATTTTATTGGAATATAGCCACACCCAATTGTTTACATGTTGTCTGACTGCTTTTATGTCACAGCAGGAGAGTAGATCCATTTCCTACACAGACCCTGGGTAGCTTATGAACTCTGAAATATTCCCTTGACGGAAAGTTTTCTGTCCTTGATCAAGAATAGGACTCTCACATCTTCAAAGGCATTATACACAGTGTTCTTGTTCTTGAGTCTGGATGACCACAGTTATTCTATTCCTCCAGAAGTCATAGGCGTGGTGGGCAACAGAGTTGAATAAGACTCTTTCCATGTTCTTAAAGGGCTGCTATTGAGGAGAAGAAAAAACACACACTGAAATTGCGAAGGTCACAATCCAAAGACAAACAGAGGTGTCAGGGGAGAGGTAATGTCCATAATGGGAACTGCTTCACAGACCCTGTGGGATAAGACTTTGGCACTATGATGAAGGAATAAAAGTTAGTCCGCTTGATGATCACTTCTGGATAGCTCGGAAGTGATTTTTTGAGGAGGCAGCCACTTAGGCATTCTTCACTTCTCTGAATGATGAAGTTGAAAAACTTTGAGGATATTTTTTGCATACAAATAAGTAAAAAATTTCTTACAAAGGAAAAATAAAAGAGCTAATTGTGTCAAAAGATATAGTTATTTGTCTTGAAGTGAGAGGGCTATGAGAGACAATGTCAGTGCAACCAGCTAACTGCATTTTTTGGAATCTTTCATGATGATCTCATCATCATACATTCCTTCAGTGGTTTACGGTGATGACATAAATCTTGATGAACTCATCTCCCATGAAGACGACTGTCCTGAATCCTTTCTTCCGAGCTGCCCCTGCATTTTTTTTTTTTATCATTGCTACCTCATTTCCAAAAGAAGCAATCAAAACACAAACCCTTTTTGAAAAAAGAACAAATAATGGCTGGCAGAAGCTATTTGAGTTGCCCTGCACTCCTTGAAGAATTTGCCACCGAGTCTTTTATTTCCTGTCATTCTCCATTTTCACTTGCTCTATGACCATTTACCTAAGTCTAGAGAAATACTGGATTACTGCTGCTGCTGCTTAAAATAGAAACGAGGCAAAGTAGCACCAGTAAACATGCTCATGGAAGCAGGCCGTAGAGAGCCTTGGTTTCAGGTTGCAAGTATTTGTTTCTTTTCTCCACCACTTCCTCCGCTTAAAACTATGCTGATTTTGAGACTGACATGGAATCACTGTCTACCCTTTTATCAGAAAGTTATTTTTCTTTCCCTCACTGTTTTTTTTTAGACATGCCTTTTAAAGACAGTACTACTGTGGCTAGCAACAAATATCCATCAAGTAACATTTATTTGTCTTACGCCATTAAATATTTTGAAGGAGCATAAAGACATATCATGCTACCTTCATCTTTATCAACATGGGGCCTTTTCAGAAGTTAGGACAATCATCGGAGAAATGTTTGAAAAAGTAACTAATTAATTAATTTGGCAATTCTTCTCTAGGAATTTCCCCTGATAACCATATGAGATGTTTCACTCCAAGAACAAAGTCCTTCTTTGTGGTTACAGATCTTCCTCTAAAACCTACAGCCAAAATGCACCCATGTCTGAGTTCTGGCCCACAGAATGTAGACCACTTCCAGTCCTGGTTATAAAAACGCCCCCTGCCATCTTGCACTATGTTCAAGGTCTTTGGAAGTTCTCTTAGATGGTGAGATTTTCTACTGGCAGGAGCTGGATTTCCTTCGTTTGCTGCATGAAGCCTTGCCCAATTGTAAAAATCCAAATCAAACTTTGCTTTCATTATGCAATTACAGGCACATTTGTGTTTTGTTAATCCACAGAGATTTCTGAAATTGTAAAAGTAGTTATTCTATCCTGGAAAAACAGATTTGTTAGTCTAGAGTTATCGTTAAGGGCCTAACAAAAGAATGTATATTCTCTTGTAACTCTTCTATGTTGTTCTTTTCTTCTTCAAATTATGAGGGGCACTATTTGGATTATAGTTCGCTCCATCCTCTTGGAACGGAAATATGCACAAAGCACTGATCTTCCTATGAGCCTTATGCACTAGATCTACCTGTTGAGTGGAACTGAACACAATGAGTTTAGCGGGGATTTATGTGTGACTGAAGATGCAACTGCTGCTGAGAAAATTTCCTGGGAAATAGAGAGGGGAACCTATGAACACTTACTGTTCCAGGCTCTATGCTAGGTGCTTTTGTGCAGGGTGTCCGGGGTGACCCTCACACCAGGACAGCAGGAGAGGTACTCTTATCTTCACTGCTTTGAGGAGACAGTTATGGCCAAAGATCCTGAGCCACAGGCTGGTTAGACATCCTGGAGTCAGTGCCCTACAATTTCTGAAGCCACACAGGGGAGCCCACACAGCTGCAGGGCTTCATTCCCCTGCTGACTTCCTCTTCCTTACCTTCCTTCCCTCTCCTTCGCTCCCCCTTTATGCTTCCTTTCAGGTCTCGATCCTCAGGGCCAGGGCTTATTTATATACCAAAAATGAAAAACACAACAAAGAAGAAAGGAAAGTCAGACTAGGTACAATGCAGCAATTGTCTGCTTTCCTGACAACTGATGTTTGCAGTCCAGGATCATTAACTGTACATAGAAATAGAGGTGTTTTTCTAAATAAGCCATCCTAGACATGCAAGTCTGTGACTGTTTAATTCATCATGAGATGCTAATGTGGGGGCACACCTGTGTGAGTACACACTCCTGGATATTGCTGTGCATAAATGCAGCTAGCAGGATCCCAGGCTGGGTAGAGCTGGCAGTACTCCAAAAAGAAAATTTTCATTGATCTTCCAGTTTAATTATATCTGTGGCGATATCTACTACCTTGTGAATCATCATGTGGGCTCGTTAGGCACCTGTTCTCTCTCCACTTGCAAGGAAAATGTTTCAATTAGAATAAAAAAATGATTACAGATCTTTCCTCTTCATTTCTTGCCCTAGGTAACTGGGAGGAAACTGACATGAATATGCAGCCAGGCAGGCGGAGAACGGGTCACCTCACAGATAGGAACTTATTAGCTCTGTATCATTTCCCCCTCAGCGCACGCCTGCCTTCCTAACCCACACACACAAATCACACATTCATTACACGGATGTCACAAATATATTTTTTACTCAGATGAAGCCTCCATGAAACATCACGAAGACAAGTTGTTGTGTTAGTTCTTTCATCCTGAAAAGCTTGATTCGGGGATTTATGTGTGACTGAAGATGCAACTGCTGCTGAGAAAATTTCTTGGGGGATAGAGAGGGGAACCTATGAACACTTACTGTTCCAGGCTCTATGCTAGGTGCCTTTGTGCAGGGTGTCCTGGGTGACCCTCACACCAGGACAGCAGGAGAGGTACTCTTATCTTCACTGCTTTGAGGAGACAGTTATGGCCAAGATACTTTCACACTCCGCCTGGTCCAGTTCCAAAGGCCACCGCAGATGCAAAAGCTTAAATGCTGCTTAGGGTGTGACTGGAGATTTTGTGGAGGTCCCACCCTGCAGCAGAGTAACAGAGGCAGCGTGCAGATGCCATCCATCCCATTCTCACCTCGGCTTGTTGATGAAGGACCTCAATAGCTGGCAAGCAAACAGAAGATGCTTGCACCCTTCAGCCCCAGTGAGAAGCTTCTTAGTTTCGTCCTTCAGATAAGGAATGAATATGTTAACTGGGTCAATATAATGAGCAGACTGCTATCTGTAGGCTGTTTTCAGCCTTTTGAAGGGTCATTTCAGACAGTGAATCAGAAAGACAGAGCTCTGGCACATAAGACTGGGACAGTTAAGCACATATGAAACCAGGAAGTTTACTTAATAGGAATAAACAAGCAATGAGGAAAGCAACGAGCTCCGTGAGGCTGGATGGTGTAATTCATTATAATATGAGCAGACTGCTATCTGTAGGCTGTTTTCAGCCTTTTGAAGGGTCATTTCAGACAGTGAATCAGAAAGACAGAGCTCTGGCACATAAGACTGGGACAGTTAAGCACATATGAAACCAGGAAGTTTACTTAATAGGAATAAACAAGCAATGAGGAAAGCAACGAGCTCCGTGAGGCTGGATGGTGTAATTCATTATAATAACAAACTTAGTTTTCTTTCAAATGCCGAGGGGATCAAGAGATACAGGGAAAAGGCTGGGATGGTAGGGAAAAGAGATGACAAAGGAATTAAGATGTGTTATGTACATGTACACAACCCATACAAGGGATGTAAACACTGTGTACTGCAAACATGAGCTAATAAAAAATGAAAAAATTACAAACACATTGTTGTGTTAGTTCTTTCATCCTGAAAAGCTTGATTCGGGGATTTATGTGTGACTGAAGATGCAACTGCTGCTGAGAAAATTTCTTGGGAAATAGAGAGGGGAACCTATGAACACTTACTGTTCCAGGCTCTATGCTAGGTGCCTTTGTGCAGGGTGTCCTGGGTGACCCTCACACCAGGACAGCAGGAGAGGTACTCTTATCTTCACTGCTTTGAGGAGACAGTTATGGCCAAGATACTTTCACACTCCGCCTGGTCCAGTTCCAAAGGCCACCGCAGATGCAAAAGCTTAAATGCTGCTTAGGGTGTGACTGGAGATTTTGTGGAGGTCCCACCCTGCAGCAGAGTAACAGAGGCAGCGTGCAGATGCCATCCATCCCATTCTCACCTCGGCTTGTTGATGAAGGACCTCAATAGCTGGCAAGCAAACAGAAGATGCTTGCACCCTTCAGCCCCAGTGAGAAGCTTCTTAGTTTCGTCCTTCAGATAAGGAATGAATATGTTAACTGGGTCAATATAATGAGCAGACTGCTATCTGTAGGCTGTTTTCAGCCTTTTGAAGGGTCATTGCAGACAGTGAATCAGAAAGACAGAGTTCTGGCACATAAGACTGGGACAGTTAAGCACATATGAAACCAGGAAGTTTACTTAATAGGGATAAACAAGCAATGAGGAAAGCAACGAGCTCCGTGAGAGTGAGGCTGGGGTGTAATTCATTATAATAACAAACTTAGTTCTTTCTCAAATGCCGAGGGGATCAAGAGATACAGGGAAAAGGCTGGGATGGTAGGGAAAAGAGATGACAAAGGAATTAAGATGTGTTATGTACATGTACACAACCCATACAAGGGATGTAAACACTGTGTACTGCAAACATGAGCTAATAAAAAATGAAAAAATTACAAACACACGCACACGCACAAAATTCATCACACACAATTCATTACATAGAGTCTGAAACATTAAAAGGGTTTAGAAAATCTGAGTTCACTTTCCATGTCCCTAATGGGTACTTCATACATTTTAGTGACTAGAAT